AACGTCTTCAGCCAGATAGTGGTGAATTTATGGAATTCACTGCCACAGAAGGCTGTGGAGGCCAGGTCATTGAGTACATTTAAGACTGAGTTAGATAGGTTCTTGTTTATCAAGGGGATCAAGGGTTACAGGGAGAAAGCAGGAGAATGGGATTGAGGAACTTAAAAGCCATGATTGAATGACGGAGCAGACTCCATGGGCTGAATGGCCTAATTTCTGCTCCTATGTCTTGTGGCCTTACACCAGCCCTACCACCCAGGAATCAATTTGGTAAACCATCACTACACTCCATCTATAGCAAGAACATCCTTCCTCAGATAAATGGACCAAATATGTACACAATATTCCAGATGTAGCCTCACCAATGTTCTACGTAATTGTAGCAAACATCTTTATTCTTGTACTGGAATCCTCTGGCTATGAAAGCCAGCGTATAGTTTGCTGCCTTTACTGCCTGCTGCACCTACATGCACAGTCTTCGTGACTGGTGCACAAGGGCACACAGGTCAAAATGAACAACCTTCTCTCTCAATTTACAACCATTCAAAAAATAACCTTCCTTCCTATTTTTTGCTTGCAAAGTGAATAACTTCACATTTATTTGCATTATAATGCATCTGCTAGGCTTTATGCACTCAGCCTAACCAAATCACACTGCAATATCTCTGTAACCTCCTCACAGCTCACCTTTCAACTCAGCTTGGTTCTGTCTGCAAATGTTGAGATCTTACCTTTAATTGTCTCATATAAATCATTAACAGATATTGTGAATAGCTGGGGTCCTAGTAACAATCCCTGCATCACTGCCTGCCATTCAGAAAGAGACCTATTTATTCCTGTTCTTTGTTTCCTGTCTGCTAACCAATTTTCTATCCAGCACAGTACACTACCACAATCTCATGTGCTTTAATTTTGCACATTAATCTATCAGCTGGGACTTTGTCAAAAGCCTTCTGAAAGTCCAAATAAAGCACATCCACTCACTCCTGATCAACACTACTAGTTGGAAGGAAGAAAGGGTTGGGAGGGACAATGATCATTGTATCCGTAATGTTTAGGCTGACTATAGAAAAGGACAAAAAAAATCCAGTGTAAGCTTAATTAACTAACCTCAGTGGGGTGAGAACAGATCCAGGCTAAGTATTTTGCCAAAGGTTGTGAGGACAAGCAGCAGCAGAACATTGTTCACCTTTCAAAGAGAAATGCAGTTAAAGTATATTACCTCAAAAGGAAAAATGTAGAGAAAATTAAACCAGCGCTCTCAATTTAAAAAAAACGTAATTAAAATAAAGAAGGAAAAATGTGTTTATGACAGATGTCATTTTAAAAATACAATTGCAAACCAGGCTGAATATAGAAGATTCAGAGGGGAAGTTAAAAAGCAAGTAAGTGAAGCAATGAGGCAGTATGAAAAGAGACTGTCAGTCGACATGAAAGTGAATCCCAAAGAGTTCTACCTGCGTATAAATAGTAAAAGAATGGTAAAAGGAGGAAATGTACCAGTTAGGGACTAAAAAGTGGATTTACACATGGAGGCAAGAAGGCATAGCTGAGGTACTAAATTAATTCTTTGCATCTAAGCTTACCAAGAGAATTAATGCTATCCAGGCCATGGGGAAAGATGAGCTAATGCGGACATGAGCTAGGTTTAACTTGATACAGAAGAAACATGGTTAGGCTATTTGTACTTAAAGTGGACAAGGCACCAGGACCAGATGAGATCCATCAAAGAATACTGAGGGAAATGAGAGTGGAAAATGCTTTTTTTAAATCCATCATGATGTGGTGCTAGTGGACTGGAGAAATGTTAATTTACATCCTTATTCAAAAAAAATTAATACCCAGCAACTACAGGACAGTCAGATTAATTATGGTGGTGTGAAAATGTATAAGAACAATAACTGAGGGCAAAATTAATAGTCACATGGACAAACTTGGATTAATTAAAGAAAGCCAACATGGTTTCTTAAAGGAAAGTCATATGAAATTAACTTCCTGAAGTGTTTTGAAGAGTTAACAGAGTACGCTGGTGATGTAGTGGACTTCTGAAAGACATGTGACGCAGTGCTATATGATAGACTTGTGATCCAAGTTATCATTCATAGAATGGACAAGAACGTACCAACATGGGTGTAAAGTTAGCTATGACAGTGTGTTAGTGGATGTTTTTTGGGTTCAGTGTTGGGACCATGTTTTAGATTAGTGACCTAATTTGAAAGATTTTTGATGATAAAGAACTGGGAACCATTGTGAGCTGGATAGGGTTGAATTTCAGAAGGACATTAAAATGCTGGTAGAGTGAGTGGACTGATGGAAGAAGTTGAATGCAGGGAAATTGTGGCAGGAAAAACATGGGGGGATGGGTCAAAAATCCTAGAACTCCCTCCCTCCCATCATTGTGAGTCTATTTACAGCACATGGATTGCAGCAGTTCAACAAAGCAACTCACCATCACCATCTCAAGGGTGGTTATGAATGGGTAATAAATGCCCAGATCCTGTGAATAAATAAAAAAGTTAAAATAATATAAAGGATATAACTCTAAAGGGGGTTCAGGAGCAAATGGACCTGACTGTAGACAAGCATAGCTGAACAGTATCCTAGGGTAAAGAGTATAAGGGCAAGAAGGTTTTGTGGAATTTGTATTAACTCTAGCTGAGACACCACTGGAATAATGTTCCAGTTCTGAGCACCCCACTTTAGCAAAAATGCAAAGATATTGGAAAGGCTGCAGAAGCGATTCACAGGAATAGCTCCTATAATGAGGAACCTCACTTATGAAGGTAAACTGGAAAAGTTATGACTATTGTCCTTGGAGAAGAGAGGCTGAGAGGAAATTTGGTCAAGGGCTCAAATCATGCAGGTTTCTGGAAAGAGTAAACACTGTAGGGAGAAATTGCTCCCCTCTGTGAAAGGATCAAGTGCAAGAGGATGTAGATTTAAAGTAATTGATAAAAGAAGCGAAAGCAATGGGAAAATGCTTTTTCATGCAACATGTGATTGAGGTCATTTTTCACTGCCTGAGGGGGCAGGTTCAATTAAAGCCTTCAAGGAGGAATTAGACAATTGTCTGAAAACAAAATGTGCAAGGCTGCAGGGAGAAGGTAGGAAAGTGACTTCATGCAAATTGCTCATTCAGAGAGCCAGGACTGACATGATGGTCTGAATGGTTTCCATTTGCTGGACTTGTTGGTTTGAAGGGTCTGTTTCCATGCTGTATGACTCTACGACTCTATGGTAGAAGGATACAGCTGCAATGTTAGCTTAGATAAGTCTTTAAATATTGACTGATTTGTTGTGCATTTGAAATGTTTTGTGAGGACCGTGTACATGAACTGTGGTTTCCTACAAAATGATTTCTGGTCTGTTTCAACGTGTATTTTGAGAGGAGTTCAGACTTTATGTATGTCATTATGGTCACATTGGTCCTTGCTGACACCTATTAATGTTGAGACACAGGATAAATTTCAACATCAGAATGGTGAAAACTCGATAGTGGTAGTTCTCATATAACTGCATAATCCTTGGCACACAGCCTCTATTGAAGTATCTAAAAACTATAGAAAATAGGAGCAGGAATAGGCCATTCGGCCTTTCAAGTTTACTCTACCATTCAAAAGATCAGGGCTGATCATCCAACTCATTACCCTGTTCCTGCTTTCTCCCCACACCCTTTGATCCCTTTATCCCTGAGAACTTTATTTTGAAAACATTCAATGTTTTGGCCTCAACCACTTCCAGTGATGGAGAATTCTCTGGATGAAGACATTTCTCCTCATGGCCATTCTAAATGGCCTACCCTGTTACCCTCAGACTGTGACCCCTGTTTCTGGATTCCCTGATTATTTGGACATTCCTCTTGTATTTACTCTGTCTAGCCCTGATGGAATTTTATAGGTTTCTATGAGATCCCCACCTCCTAGTTCTCTGGTTTTGTTTCTTTTTCTGGGAAGAATGATTTTCCTCACTTTATCATTGCTTCTTTTTTAGATCACTTTAAATCTATGCGCCCTTGTTTTTGTTTCCTTTACAGCTGGGAACCATTTCTCCCCATCTACTGTATCCAGCATGTTCATCATTTAGAAAACCTCTATCAGATCTCCTCTTAACCTTCTTCTGTCCAAGGAGAACAGTCCCAACTTCCTCAGTTCTTCAATCAGATTGGAGTCACACAGTTCTCTTACCTTCAGTTATCACTAACATTCCTGATTCTGCTTTTAGTCTTCAATGGTTGCAGCATTAATTTTGGATTTTTTTTTTCTATTTTAACAAGAATTCTTTTTGGAGCTCACAATAGACCACCAGGAGAACTTGGTGGCTGCAAACACTGTCACATTGTTTCCTAGAAACTGAATAATGGTGATGTTGGGAGGCACTGGGAAAAATTTTTAGGCCTACCTTCGCTTCCTGGAGTGCTGTTGTAGCAGCTACAGCTTCCTGTTCACACTATTCTGAGAGACGTGTCAGTCTTGAGACATTTCAGTAGGAAAGGGACATTTCTGAATTCAAAGTTCCTCAGAGAGTTAGAAATGGATTAAAACATGGAGTCGAACATGTCTTTAAGGAGCAATGTTGTTTCTCATGTTGACAGATTTAGTTTCAAATTCACTGCAGCTTCATATTTGCAGTCTCTCATCTTGACATCAAAAGCTAAGTTGTGTTGTGGAGTTATAAATTGGAATTCCACCGTGGTGGATCATGAAATCCAAACTTAATTTTAAAATTTTGGAATAAAAATTTAGCCAAATGGTGACCGTGTAACCATTGTTGTATAAACCCATCAGATTCACGAATGGATGATAATCTGTCACCCTTATCTGACCTGGATTATATGTGACTCCTGAACAATAGCAATGTGGTTGACTCTTAACTGCTCTCTGGGCAATTAGAAATGAATAATAAATACGAGCACAGACAACAACATTCATATTCCATAAATAAAGGGGGAAAAAAAGCTGTTCCTTTCAAACTAATTTTTGTCCTTTCTTTCTTCCCTGCAGAAATCCTGGAGAACCCCTTTTACAGTAAGTATCTTTTCATTTACTAAGCTTGGATTGGACCACTTGGTCCTTTGAATAAAATTGACATTAGTGAGCAGCATGTTCCAGAGAGGCTTATTTGCTCTTTCACTCTTTGTTCCAAAGCACAGCAATCATAATAAGGCAAAAGAATTATTGAAAGAAAATGAATGACTAAATGACCATTTCAATCAAGTGGCATCAGGTACCCAGGGCAGAATGATTTGTTGATACATGGGATTATTTAAAAATGATTGCCCACCATTTGCTCAGGATGACAGTACCTTTTGAATAAAAAAATGCAAAAATAATTATATACTAAGTTTAAGAAAATGACAGTGGCAGACGGTGCAGAAGAGCAGAGATGTAAGAGAATGATTATACATTTTCTAAATTATTGCTTCCTCAGCCTCCATATATCACTCATTACTCAAGAAGGCTGCAGTAGACTTGGTCAGAGATAGTAGGAACTGCCGATGCTGGATTCTGAGATAACAAGGTGTGGAGCTGGAGGAACACAGCAGGCCAGGCAGCATCAGAGGAGCAGGAAAGCTGATGTTTCGGGTCTGGACCCTTCTTCAGAAAACCCTTCTTCAGATGTTTTTCTGAAGAAGGGTCCAGACCTGAAACGTCAGCTTTCCTGCTCCTCTGATGCTGTCTGACCTGCTGTGTTCATCCAGCTGCAGTAGACTTGGTGTTAGGCTCCTACCATTAGCTCTCGGTTAGTGGTTGGCTTAATTCCAGATGCTATAAACTCCCGTTTACAAAGGGCTTTGCCCTCTGGAGAAGGACAGCCTTTGTCAATCTAACACATTCCTGTTGGTTTGTACAGGGAGGGTTTTTGATGGAATCCGTTGAAGTGCCAATGTGACAGCAGCCAGTGATTGCAGAGTGAGGGGGAGGAAAGCAAATCAGCAAAAAGAAATAGATTAAAGTAGACGGTATGCAGTGGGTGTTCAGACAGGAGGATAGTGGTGTAAAATGCACTTTACGCTGAGTACAGCTTCTAGCATGGACTGTACGTGACATGGGAGAATTTCATCTGGCAATGCAAAGTAAACTTTCAAATATTTCTAACTCTTGTTACATCTGATCTGTTTGATGGGACAGTGCAGAAAGAGTTTACCTCTGTATATAATCCAAATGGACCTGACCTGTGCATGCTGAATGGGTCAATAATTCGCCACTACGTGAAGGATGAATCTGCTCAAAATACTCAGGAATGCCTGACTTCTTTTCAAGAATTATCTTAGATCTTGAATGTTCCACCCGCTGTGGTTGAACAAAATAGCATGCTACCTGGAGAAAGGCACTCAGGATGTGTATGAGCCAGCTACTGTCAGGTCTATTTATGAACACTTTCAATTAAGATCAGTAGGTACTGCAGAGCTGTTTGTAAATTACACACTTGAATCAGCTCAATCCCTGGATTTAAAGAGAATCTACTTTGGCTCAGGTCAGCTGTGAGTTTCTGTTACCACTTCAGTGTCCTGCCTCGTCCTCTCTTTGTTACCGTAGTCCTTTAAAGGGTAAATGAGAGAGGAGTCAGAGGTGGAGGGCCATTTGGGATTGTTTGTTGGCTTTTGGTTGATTGGCTGGCTCTTCCAGTAACCATGTGCTTTCTTTCTCCAGTTCCATCATTTGAAGTGACAACAGGCCCTCCAGTCAGTGTAACCCACAAGCCCGAGGGAGACACTTTTGGTGTGAGTACCAATTTAAGCAGAATTATTGCACTGTCATTTAGCTGGAAGATGTCAAACCTATTGATTCTGCTTTGAACTTGAGGCAGCAAAGAATGAATGGGATCTGTTCTAGTACATCCTTCCCTTCAGACAGTCAAGGACAAAATGTTTGAAGTAATTCCTTTTTATCTTAGCAGTCACTTTTCGAATTTGAAACGTCAGATTGGATCTTCCTGTTGAAGTTTGTTGGTGAAACATTTCTGATATTGAATCATCTTAACTTGCCCCAGGAGTTTCCCAATCATCCAGTTAATGGGTTGAATAGAGTACTTTGTCAATAAGCCTGAGGATCACAGGCTGCAGGCACAATAATGCAAACATGCTCTGTGGCGAGAAATGTATCAGTACACTTCTGTTTTCACTTTGTTTTCTGTTGATCTATTTTCAATGTTATTTTTTTCAACATTTTAGTTCAGTCACCAGCCATGTTTATCAACCTCTTATCCTTTTAGATTATATGGGAAGCTGATGATAAAACATAAATTCATATGAAGTGTTTACTTTCACTCCAGGGCAGAATATAGATTACATACGGCAAGAGATGCACCACAGAAAGAGAAAGCTGCAAGAATAGAGGATGCAGCAGGTGTGACTTTTCCAAATTACCTTAGATTTGATCATAGTCTCTTTGGAATTGAGGCTGGCAAATGTAATGCCAATTTTCATGAAACTAGGAATAGAAAAAACAGAAAAAGAGAAAAATCTAATTGACTTAACCACTGTCTTTGGGAAAATAAAGGAATTTCTTGTTCAGGAGGTCTTAACACTAAACATTATTGTGAATGTCTAATTCATGGTCCAAGCATTGTTGGTGTAAAGTAATCATAGTTTTAAGATTTAGAGCATAAGTGTCGAAAATGGAATAAATAGAGTTGAAGCACAGGGAAGCTGTTGCACTTTATCCATTGTGGTTATGCTGCTTTAGAAGGTTAACCGCTAGAAATGTGGGATCAGAAACAGTAAATGGGCTTGCTGAGTTGGCAAATTGTGTCTACCTTCATGTAGTTCAGAAGGATCATTTGTTTTGGAAGTTAGACCTGAAAATCTTGAAAAGATTCTGTGAACTCTGAAAGTCCATAAAACTCATTGACTTTATCAGCTCAAAGAAGAAATTGAAAAATGGGCATTTAACATAAAATTCAAGTTCAGGATAACTCACAGCAGACCAAATCATCATGGAGATGGATGGAGCTTAAGAGTTTCTCTGGTTTCAATTTATCTGTGTATTTGCTGAGAGAGAAATTGCTGCAGTTTGAAGCTGGGACAGTGTGGAAGCAGAGGAAGTGACCAGACAGCACAAATACTTTTGTCAGCAGATTCCAGCCAGTTAGTGCTCAGGAAAATTCCAGGGCGTGGTGATTCCTTACTATGAGGAAAATGTTAGGGCCGATTGGAACTAATTAACATGGTTTGCTAAAGGATGTGGGAAAAGGGTGGGGTAGATAATGGGGAACCAGCAGATGTAGCATATGTGGACTTCCAAAAAGGCATGTGATAATGTGCCAGCGACAATGTTAGTAGACAAGTTAAGAGCGCATGGAACTAGGAATAATATGAGTTTGAATAGAACCTTGGTAAACAGATATGAAGCAGAGAGTGAGTATAAATGGATTATTTTCAAGTTAGTAGGTTGCATCTGGCAAGGTATCATGGGGATCAGTGCTGTGGCCTCAGCTATTTAAAACTCTATGTCAATAATTCAGACAAAAAGACCAAGTGCAACGTAGATTTGCTGATACAGAGTTAGGTTAGAAGGATAATCTGTGGGGAGAAAACAGAGGGGTTGTAACAAATTAGAGATGGGTTAAGTGAATTGGCAACAAGACAGAAGATGGAGTATACTATGGGGAAGTGTAAAATTGGTTACTTTAAGGGACAGAAAGCAGAATTTTTTTGAAAGGTGTAAAACTTGTAAATGTTGATGTTTAGAGATTTGGATGTGCTTATGCAGCAAATGCAGGAGCAAGCAGTGAGCAATTGGGTGTCGCAATGGTATGTTAGCCTCTGTTGCAGGTAGTATGGAGTACAGGAATAAAGACATTTTGCTATAATTGTACAGGTGTTTGGTGAGACCACATCTGGAATACTGTGCATAGTTTTGGTTTCCTTAATACTTTCATTGGAAGTGATGTGGTGAAAGTTTGTGACATTAGTCTCTAGAATGGGGGTGTTGTCGTGTGATGAACTGCTGGGTAAGTTGAGTGTATGTTCCCTGGGGTTTAGAAGAAAGAGAGGTGATCTCATTGAAATATAAATGTTTCTGAAGGTGCAGACAATGAGAGATGGTTTCTGCTGGTCATGGAAATTAAAGCACAGGGCACAGTCTCAGGATAAGTGGCTGATCATTTAGAATGAGATAAGGAAAATTCTTTCAACCAAACGTGTGAATCTGTGGAATTGTCTATGCCAGAGTGTTGGCGTATTTCATTGTTGAATATTTTTAAGCCTAGGATAGTCAGATTGTTGGTATCACAGGAAATCAAGGGATATGGGGAGCATTTGGTGATGTAAAGTGAAGCTTGAGATCAGTCATAATCGTATTGAATGCTGAAACAGGCTGGATGGGCTGAATTGTTGTTTTCTGCCCCTGTTGCCTTTGTTCTTGCGAAATAGGCCATTCAACTGGACTAAATCTATACTGGTGTTTAGGCTGGCTTGGATGTCCTCCTTTCTTTCTTCATCTGTATCTTCAGCATCTAATCCCTCCTTCCTCATATTCTTGTGTAGTTTCAATTTAACTTTGTCAATCCTGTTCACTTCAACCACTCCCTGTGGTAGTCTTGCATTCCCTCGCTGTGAATAAAGACTGCTCTGTTGTCTAAGGTAATGGTTCTGGAAGGGTTAATGTTGGAAACTGCATTAAGCTCCACCCAATCTGATAATGTCGTGAGGAATTTGGTAGGGAAAGATGGAACGTCTTAGGAACTTGAAGAGCACAGGTCTGTTATCTATGATCTTCTCATGGTTTTTGTAATCCTCTCCATTTTACTTATATAGCTTGTACCTGATTACTGTCAGGCAATAGATTACATCTTGTTTAAGACTGGAGCCTCTTGTCATTGAGAGAACCATTGGTAGTTCTCCTGTATTGCTGTAAACTAAGGAGGTCCTTAGGTCCAGTCAAGGACAGAGGGTGGTGGCAGCAAATTATCCCAACCTAAAGTTGGTACCATAGCACATATGGTGACTACGTTATATTGATGGCCTCTAGTTATGCTCATCCTCCCAAGAGGAAACATTCACTCTCTATTCACTTATCAAAACCTTTCATAATTTATGTCTCTATTAAGTCACCCTCTCTTGCTTTCTTCAACAGAAAAGAGAGCCAGCCCATCAGCCCTTTTCAGATAAAAACATCCACACATCTTTGTATTTGATATAATCTTTGTGAATCTTCTTCACACTTCTGACAGTGCCTCTACATCATTGTTATAATATGATGACCAGACTTGCACACAGTATGCCAAGTCTTCTCTAAACAAGGTATGATACAGGTTGAGCATAATTTCTCTACTTTTCAATTCTATCCCTCCAGAAATAAAGCCCAGTGCTTGATTTGATTTTCTAATGCTCTTTGCTAAACTTTGGCATAACTTTTAGTTTTTTTACATATTCATTCACGGGATGAGGGTGTCGCTGGCTAGGCCAGTACTTATCGCCTATCCCTAATTGCCCAGAGAGCAGTTTAAGAGTCAACCACATCGCTATGTGTTGGGAGTCACATGTAGGTAAGGCTGAGAGTTTCCTCCCTTAAGGACGTTAGTGAACCAGGTGCATTTTTTCTGACAATCAATTCATTGTCACCATTAGAGCCTTTAATTCCAGATACTTATTGAATTCAAATTCCACTTTCTGCTATGGTGGGATTTGAACCCAGGTCGACATTACCTGGGTCTCTGGATTAACAGTCCAGTAATAATCCTACAAAGCAGTAGTGGTTGGTGTATTTGGACTTAGAGATCCCTTTATTCTTTTGTCTCATCTGGAGAATCCTAGATCTTAAAAATCATAATTAGCCTCCTTACTCTTCCTATTAGAATATCCCACCTTCTATTTATCTCTGTTGAATTTCATTTACCAATTCTTTGCCCATTCTACAAATTCATTCATGTCTTCCTATAATTTGTTGGAGTCCTCCTCAATGTTGACTGCCTACATTTCCATGAAAGAAAAAAAGAATTGTATTGTAGCCACTCAGGTAAACTGGATGTTCAGGGATTACAAGTCTAGTGTTGTGCTGTACATGGAAATCAGTAGGAGAAGAACAGGACTGTCACCTTATTGTTGTCTATTTTTGAAGTCTGCTTTCCTCTCTTTAACCCCATGGCCCTATCCCAAAATTTGCAATACCTCTTTCTCATCCCTCAGAATTCTGGTGTCTTTTTCTCTTTACAGATATCCATTTTGTCTTTTCCTGACCCCTTGTATGTCCAGTTTGATTCCTCTGTCCCATTCATTTCTCCAGTATTTGTCCCTCCTCAATGTGGTATCCAATATCTATTCCCAGCACAGATCACCGCTTAACCTTCTCATCTCTTTTGCCGTCATTGCACTTAATTGTTTTATGTTTCTTTCCTGTATCCTTAGCCATGTAATTCTTATATTCCTCTTGGCAATTACAGTACGAAGAGGAAGTATTTACATCGTTGCTGTAGTAACATCACCAAAATAATGACATAATCTGATGATCTGAGCTGATTTTTTTTTCTAGTAAATCCAGTTTTAATGAGTGCTGAACAGTAAGATCCCTTTGCTGAACAGATTGGCATCCTTTGATATTATCATTCTGTGCCCTGAGGCTGTGCTTGCTATTGAGTTTTCATGTGCTTGCCAGAAGGAGCCAGTGCAGATGGAAAGATTTGCTGTTATATTATCAAACTGCTGTAATTTCACAGAAATGACCTGCAGTGAGAAGCATATTTCGAATCTGATGCTCACTATATTTGTCCCTGGGGACATTG